GCAGCCGGGGCCTCGCCGCCCTGGGCAGCTCCGTGCTGGATGATGCCCTGGACAGCAGCACGTACTGGGGTGAGCCCTCCCTCCTGTGGTGGCCGGGGACTGATCTGGGTGTTGGGGCAGTCCCCTGCGCTGGGTGACTGTTTTTTGGGGTTGGTGGTGTGGGGTTTCTCAGGGGGGCTCTGTGTTTGGGAACAGGTGGGGAGATCTCCAGCAGGAGGAGAAGAGGTACAGGGGACACAGAGTCCAGTAAGATCAACGGGCTGCTGGAGAGCAAGATGTACGACACCTATGCCTCTTCATCTGGGTACTCCTCTGAAGACGACTATGCTGGTAGGGGTGCACCAGCCCCTCTGTGGTGGCAGGGATGCTGGGGGGATGTCCCCAGGGGGACCAGCCCCAGGCCTGGCTGTCCCCAGGATGCTGCCAGCCACCCTCCTGCACACACCCCCCCTGTGCAAAGCCTTCACCCTCGATGACGGGCAGGGATGCAGGCTCCATTTGGTGACTTACTGCCTTGCTTCTTGCTTTCCAGGCCACTTCAACTCAGGCCAGAGTAGCTCTGGGTCAGGGCTGAGGAATGCAGCCTCGCGGGTGGGCTCCTTCCTCTGGCAGGTGCTCACCTCCCCAGGTGAGTGGGGGGCTGCTGGGGGGGGTTCTAACAGCACCTTTCTTCCCTGCCAGTGCCTCCCTTCCCCACGTGCCTTGTGTGTGGTTCCCTGGTCAGGTGGAGGGGGGTTTTATCCCCCTGTGGGCGTATCCTCAGGGCCAGAGGGGGCATCTCTGCTGGGACCCCACCTGAGGCTCTGTTTCTCTCCTGGCAGTCTGGTTCATGGGGTGGATGTTTTCGGGGCTGGCAACTGCCTGGCACCACCTTGCTGGCACGGCTTCCCGTCTGGGCAGTGTCCCCTTTTCCAGGTGAGTGGTGGCAGGACACTGGTATGGGGCAGGTGTGGGGAAAACCTGCAGAACCCTGGAGAGGGGGTGCCCGCAGAGCCTAGCACGTGTCAGGAGGGCATCTTGTGCCAAGGCCCAGCTGGGCTTTGCTTTCACTCTGGCTCCCATCCCGAGGAGTGCTGTGGTGGGGGAAGGCAGCTGCAGTCCTACAGGCATCTCTTTCTTCTCCTCGCTCCAGGCGCTATCCACGTCTGAAGAGGTCCCTGCTCCTGCTGCTGCTCCTCCTGCTCCTCGGTGCTACTGCCTATGGTGAGTTGGCCCAGCTCAATCTGTTACCCTGAGATCTGGAGCAGTGCAGAGCATCCTACTGCCATGCCCAGGGGATGGGATGGCCTCAAGCTCTGTGCTTGTGGCTCCTGGTACCCTGGTGCATCTGCACCCCTGCGCTGAGGCCTCCTGGTAACCCCAAGGGATGCTGATGGCTGAGCCTTGGCTTGTCTGCCCCTGTCCCTGATGTGGTCCGTTACTGGCCTGCTGTTCTAACCATCTCATCCCCCTGCTTGCCCAGGAGGTTGGTACTTCTACCCATATGGGCTGTCAACACTCAGTCTCCCTGCGTTCCCGTGGTGGGGAGCTGGAAAGCTTTCTTCCTCTGATGTGCCTGGGGCAGGGGACCTGACCACACTGGACCAGGTAAGCCTCAGTGAAGGTACAGTGGTGGCCCAGGTCGAGTAGGTGCTGTGTGGGGAGAGCTGGGACAGTGTGGTCCATGGCTGAAGAAGCCCTTCCAGGGGATGGGGAAGCAATGGAAGATGGGGCAGATGGTGGCTGCACACTGGTGGAAATGGATCCACCCATCTGACTCTTGGGGTGTCCCAGAGATGGAGCAGGGGAAACATCTGCTCTCTCCTGGGAAGCCGCAGATGAATAAGGTGCCACTGACCCTGGGGACCGGGTGGCCTGGGTTTCCTTTCACAGGGGTCCCTGTGGAGCAGGCAGACCCCCAGGGGTCTGTACCTCCCTGAGGGGCTGCATCATGCCCTGCCTTTGTCACCACAGGGGCTGCAGGGGGAACACCAGCTCCTGGCTCGCTTCCAGGCCCTGGAGAAGCGCTTCAAGATGCTGGAGACTGAGGTGTCACAGTGGGAGCTGCGGCGAGGGGCTGCAGCAGTGGCGGCGGGGGGAGAGCCACCCCCGGGGGATGTCCTGGCGCTGCTGGAGGGGCTGGTGAGCCGCCGGGATGCGGGGCTGAAGGAGCATCTCCATGCTGATGTCACCAGCCACCTTCAGGTGAGGGTTGTGGGGGGCATGCAGGGAGGTGGGAGCGTGTGGGGTCAGGATCTGATGTTCCCCCCCTTTTCCTCACCCTGCAGGGCGAGCTGGATGCCCTCCGAGCCCAGGTGCAGAGGGATTTAGATGGGCGCCTGGGGAAAATGGCACAAGCCTCTCAGGTAAGGGGCTGAGTGTGTGGTGGTACCTGGGCAGGACATCCTCACTACTGGTGTCATAGGTCTCACCCCTTCCTCTTCTCCTGGCAGGAGATGGAGGCACGCTTGCTGAAGCTGAACTCGGAGTGGCAGAGGTAATGGTGGTTGTCCAAGCAGAGCCAGTTGCTTGGTCAGGGGCAGGCAGATACAGGGTGAAGTCTCCACAGCGAGGCTTAGGAGGAGTTTCCAGGTCTGGTTTGCTCAGAGCAAAGGAGATGTTGAGAGGCATGACTGTGGGTGGAAAGGAGGAATGGTACATGGTATGTTGGCAAGAAAGTGACCTGGCTGGTAGCAGGGCTCCAAGGGTGATTGCAGCAAATCACCTTTGCCACTGTAGTTTTGCATCACCATGGGGAATGCGGTCCTTGGGCTGAGGGGCGAGCTGGGGATGCTTTCCCACAGGATGCAGCAGAAGAGGTCATTGCCACAAGAATTAAAACCATTTGGGGCTGGAGACGGGGTTGAGTGTGGGCCATGGGTGATGAACCTTCTCCCTCAGTTTGCAGAGGGGAGCTGGGACTGTCAACGCACAATGTGTTGCCTTTCTCTCGGCACAGCTCTGTGCAGGACGGCCTGCGAGGGAGCTTCCAGCAGGAGGTGGGCAAGCTGGAGCAGGAGGTGTCAGCGCTGAGGAGGGAGCTGGCCAGCCTCAAGTCGGACCAGGAGGTGATGGGGAAGCAGGTGGAAGGGATGCTGAAGCAGCTGAAGGCTGTGCGGGCTGATGTGAGTCCCTGGTCCCCATTTTGTTCGCCAGAGCGAGGCACGAGGGTCCCTGCCCCAGGGCTGAGCTCTGTCTCCACCGTTTCAGGTGGAAGCACAGTTCCCAGCATGGGTCAGCCGGTTCCTGTCGCAGCCCCAGCGGGATGGTGCTGCCAGCCTTGTCCTCCAGCGGGAAGACTTGCAAGCAGAGCTCCAGGCCCTGGAGCACAAGATCCTGGCCAAAGTCCTGGAGGACAGGAGGCTGTCGGCGCGAGATGCTCAGGCTGGCATCGGAGTGGCCCTACAGCAAGGGGGAGCTGCAGGGGTGACAGAGGAGGTGAGATCTGGCCTGAGCCCCAGGGATGCGGTGATAGCCACAGGCATGGGTGTCAGGGGGAGCTGATAAGAGTGCCTGGCAGATGGCTGAGCCATGGGGACAGCCCTTGCAGCTGGGACACTGATCCTGGGCTTGCATCCCCCCTGGCAAGAGCATCCCCTGAAACTCTTCCATCACTTCTCTGCCACCAGCCTCCCCTGGGCCGTGCCTGCACCCTGCCCTGGAAGGGGTCAGAGGTGACGATATCCACATGCCTGTGAGGCTCTTGCTGTCCTAAAATCCAAGTTTCTGCTTGTGCACCTTTCACCCAGAAGCAAGGCGGGTGGTAGCAAGGTGCCCATGGGTTGAGCATCTTTATTATTTCCCTCCTTCAGCAGTGCTGCAGAGTCATTCGGGGCAAAGCATTTCAGCAGAATAACACCACAGGAAGAAATGAGCCTGCTTGCTTTGGAAAGAGTTTTTGGCAGCTCCCCTTGAGGGAGGGATCGAGCAGGATTAGCAGTCCCACAGCCTGCGCAGGCTTCATGCATGCTGCAAAGTTTAGACCCAGAGCCCTGCTGCAGCGTCCCAGCTCCCGAAGGATGCTTTGGTTGGCTCTGATGTCAGATTTTCCAGATGGGAGTCCTGTGGGACAGGGTAGTGGGGACAAACAGACAGTGCTGGGGAGGACCGGGTGGGCTGTCAGGTTGTGTCTGGTCCCCGCTGGCAGTTCTGGGGCCAACCCACCCTTTGGGATGGAGACAGGCAAGCCCAGCCTGCCTGGGTGCACTTTGCTTCTTATCTGGGGTATTTTTAGCAACGTCTAACGAGGCCAAATGCGTGTCCTCTTGTTTTTGCCGTGGTGATTCATCCCCTGGCTGTTCTGTGGGAAGGTCCTTGTGCCCTCTGTATCCCTGGGGGGTGGGGGGCAGGGCACCCATCCTGCCCCTTCACCCGTCTCATGCCCTCTGCTCCCGCCGCAGCAAGTGCATCTCATCGTGGATCAAGCCCTGAAGCGCTATAGTGAGGACCGTGTGGGGATGGTCGACTACGCCCTGGAGTCAGCAGGTGGGCAGTGGAGGACTCTTGCCCTCCCTGGGACAAGCCAGCCATCCTGGAGAGGGATGGGGCTTACCTGCTGCTGTCCCCTCTCTGCCCCAGGGGCCAGTGTCATCAACACACGCTGCTCGGAGACCTATGAGACACGGACAGCGCTGCTGAGCTTGTTCGGCATCCCCTTGTGGTACCAGTCACAGTCCCCCCGTGTCATCCTGCAGGTGGGCAGCCTCGGGGCGAAAGCCCACAAGGGTGAGGGCAGGGTGTTCTCATGTGGGCTTGGTTGCTTTTATTGGGTTCTTGCTGTCTCTACAAGCAAGCAGCCAGGCTGATGTGCCAGGCTGATGTCAGGAGGAGAAAACGGCACTGATGGTGACAACCTTGCTGTGTTTTGTTCCCATGCTCGTAGCCAGACGTCAACCCCGGGAACTGCTGGGCATTTCGTGGGTCCCAGGGCTTTGCCGTCATCCGCCTCTCCAGCATCATCCGCCCCGTGGCTGTGACACTGGAGCACATCCCAAAAGCCCTCTCACCCCAGGGAACCATCCCCAGTGCCCCCAAGGACTTTGCTGTCTATGTGAGTGCCCTCACCTGAACCCGAGAGAGAAGCAGGGGGGATGTGGTGGGAGGGTGCCATGGTGGATGACAAGCCTCATACCTTGGCTGTGGGGTGGTCTGGGGGTGGGTGTTAAATTCTGAAGAGGAGGAAGAAGCAGTAATGGGGAGGAAGAGGGAGAAGCACCAGGCTTTGGGAAAGGTTTTTGGGGACACTGGGGGAGAAGGGATTGAGTAGGTGTAACTCTGTCTTCCTCCCCATCCTTCCTCACTGGCCCCTGTCCCCACTTGTCTGTTTTGGCCTGGAAGAGCAGGAGTCGGGGCCAAGCATGCTTGTGTCTCTGTCTCCCTTTTCTGCCCTCCGTGCACTCATTGCCTCCAGTTCTCCCTCTCTGACCACCCTGGTTCTCCCTTTCTGCCTCCCTGCCCCCCATAGGGCTTGAAGGAGGAGGGAGAGGAGGAGGGCCTTCTCCTGGGGCAGTTCATCTACAACCAAGATGGTGACCCCATCCAAACGTTTTACTTGGAGGTAAGTGCTTTGCGTTCAAAGCACCAGACCCTGAGGAGAAAGTGGGGCCCTTGGGGTCTCAGAGCTCTCAAGGACTCAGGTTTTTCCTTCCTTCTCTCCCCAAGGGTGATGCTGTGGGCACGTACCAGCTGGTGGAGCTGCGGGTGCTGAGCAATTGGGGCCACCCCGAATACACCTGTATCTACCGCTTCCGCGTTCACGGGGAGCCAGCGCACTGACCCCTGGCTCCTGTGTGGGGTGAGGATGCTGCCAGGCTGACAGCAGGAGGGAATTGGTCCGGTTTGCTGCTTCGCACATAAAAATCCTGGGATGCGCCAACAGCTGCCCCGAGAAGCTGCTCCCCTCCGGGGAGGAGAAGAGCTGGTGTTTAAGGGGTGAGGCTTTCAGTCTTCCAAGGACTGCGGCGGTGAGGCAAGAGCATCCCACGTGGGTCCTAGCGCAGCCTGGCTTGTTTTCAGTGCGTAACAGACATCATCTTCACTTTTTAAGCTAATTTTTTAATTGGGTCTGCGCAGCCCCTCATCCCTGTTGCCCTGCTCCTCTCTGACGGTGTGCCTGGCCTTGCCAGGGCTTTGGAAAGGGATATGTAATTTTGTGATGTGCTTCACGCAGGCTTGGGCATGATATGGTGTATGGGACTGTGGCAACTGGTGCGTTGCCACTGGAGTAGGTGGGAGCCACTGGTCATGGCCACTGAGTCTCTCCCCTCCACGCTGGGTCATTTCTCCTGCCTTGGTATTGGTTTAGGTAAGGATCTCCAGACCTCCAATGCTGGGCCAGCAGAGGGGAAACAAGACAGTATTAATGAATTATTAACATAAAACTAATGGTTGGGGGCAGTGGGAGGGGAGAGGTTTGGCACACATAGGTGGCAGAGACCACCCTGGTGCTGCCATCCGTCCTCTCGAGCCCTCCTGGGGCTGGTGGCTGTGTTGGCTCTTGGCAGTGCCGTTGTTCCCCCAGCTGGCTGGCTCCCTGGCGTTAAGCTTGATGATGCTATTGAAAACTCCTGTCACCTGCTTCCCCTTTTGGGTTTGCTCTCTGTGTTTCTTATTGTGGGGGTTTTTTTGTTTTGTGTTGTTTTTTTTTAAGGGGGGTGGGGAGTTTTTCCAGTTGGGGTGTTGAAGATTTTTTTTTTTTTTTTTTTGTAGTAACAAAGGAAAAAAGACTTTCTGTGCAATTTCTACTTAACCAGAGAATGCTATGTGGTGCTGCTCAAGTGAGTGGCTTAGATGCAGAGAGGGATAGAGCTTTGTTTAGCAGGAGAATAGTGTGTGCAGTAGGATAAGCTAGAATAAGATGAGCAGAGCTGTTTAAAATAAGGGTCATTGGTGGCTTGGGAGCTGAACCTAGGAGACAAGGTCCTCTGTGGACTGCTGCTCGGTGGGGTGCCAGGGGCACTCCTGCCCTCCTTGCTCTGGAGATGTTCTCCAAGACTGCAATGCGTGGCTGCAGCCTCTCCTCCGTGGCTGCATCTGTATATAGGCGACTGCTTGCAGCGAGCGGGAGCTGCTGCCCCAGCGCTCTGTACGACTCTGAGGTGGGAGGTGGGGTGGAGGGGAGACCTCCTTCCCCAGGGATTGCAGGGGCCAGCATGCTTCTTCACCTCAAGGGGTTGCCTCTCTCACCTCCTGGTCCCCGGTGGCAGATGGCTGGTGTGTGTGGGCTGACCTCCTTTCTCTTGGAAGGGCTCCCTTTCCCTCCTGCCTTCTGCTCGCTGGCATTGCTGAGCTGCCCCAGCCCTGGCTGCAGAGGACCATGCTGGAGCAGGATGGGGAGTCCTGCCTGCAGCAGGCACATCCTGCCTGTACCCATCGTGTGATGGGGGAACTGTGGCAGGGGACCGCAGGAAGGATGCACGGGGACTTTCCCCAGGCTGGGTGCCAGGGCCATCTGACCACTCCACCTCCTGGCTGCCTGCAGCACATTCAGTTTGGCTCATGTTCTTGGATGGTGTTTACAACCTCCACGTTTGTTTTGCATTTTGTCAGAAGAAAAGCTAAAGGGCTCATGTTTAGTTTTTCAGTGCTGTCTGATGCTGGCATCATCTTCCCCTGGCACTGCAAGCACAGGGAGAGCACTGCAAATTGAGTCCTGCTCTGGTCTTCTCAGCTTGAAATGCTGTAGGGTGAGGGGCATAGAGGGGAGGAAGGGGCTGAAGAGGTTTATCCCTTCAGCATGCCCTGATGTGCATCAGGCAGAGGTGCTGAGCCCTGCACCCCTCTGTGCCAGCCTGAGAGGCTGAATGCAATGGTGGCACACCCCTTCTGGAGGGGTCCCCTTGCCCCAGGCAAGGGAAGCAAGCCCAAAGGGCACAGCCCCATCTCCTAACAGGTTAAAATTACCCTGTGGAGCCCCTTGCAGAGCTGTGAGGCCCCACTGCCAGGAGAAAGCAGGCTGCCAGCCGGATCCAATGACAATAAATTCTCTCCTATATTGAGCATAGTCTTAATTCTTGGCATCCACAGCCAAAGTTATTTTAAACTTGTCTACAGCTGCCGGCTTGCCTTGGAGTCACATCGATGTGTGCCCTGCACACAGAGTTGTGCTGTTATGAATGCCTAGACCTGTCCTGGACTCGGCAGAGCAGCTCCTGTATTTAGTTGAATGATAAAGAGCAGAGATGAAGCTCTCTCCCTTCCCCAGGGGCTATTTGGTTGCTGGAGCAAATGCTATAACCATGAGGCTGGAAAACCCCTTTTTTTACCTCCCTTCTGCCTCCCTGGCCTGTAGGTTGGGCCATCAGGGTGGATGATCTTTTGGTAAATGAGGCATAATGGTGAGAAGTGGGAAAGGGGGACCCCTTTCCCCAAGAAGGGAGTTGGAACAGGGTCTCTGCTCCTTCTCTGGCAGTGTTGACTGCTAGCTATGGGGCAGGGAGCACTTGGCTTTACAGGGTGAGCTTGCCCTGTCCTTTGGAGAGGAAAAATCTTTGATGTTCTGGGGTAAAACCCCCTGGAGACACAAGTGAGAGGTTGCCCTCAGGCTTTTTGCTCTTTTCTCTGGAGGACAGTGCTGGTTTTAGAGGTTGCTGTGCTGCCTGTGTGAGGATCCCCAGGAAGGCATGCTGAGGTTGGGTGCCCCCACGTTCTGCAGCGGTGCTGGGCTGCAGCCTCTTGCCAGCAGCAGCTTGGAGCAGTTCTGTAGTGCTTTCCTAAGCTGCGAAGGAAAAGAAGGTGCATAAAACTGCTGCTTCAGCATGGTCCATCTCTGCCCAGGGGTGTTTAATCCTAGTGCTGATGCAGATGAGCCTGGGGAGGCAGGAGAAATGCGAAACAGCTGTCAGAGCAGGTTTCCCTGATTTACTCCATTTCTCTCCTCTATTCTCCTTCCTTCTCAGTTTCCCCTACACATGTGTTACAAGGGTTAGAGGCAGGAGACAAGTTTGTATTTGATGCTGTAGCCTGCTGCAAATGCTGCACTGTTTTGTTAATTTTATTTTTTAATCAACAGATTGTAATTTATGCCTATGCAAGAAAAAAAAAAAAAGACCAAGACAAATAAATTATATTAAAACTGCTGTGAGTTTTTTGAGTGTTTTGCAGGTGAATTTGCTTAGGGGAAGCAAAGCTAGTAGGTAAAGCTATTCTTGTAGCTGCTCTTTTATGTCTTTTTATGGCAAATCCTTATTTTCCAGCCTGACATACTAACTCTAGGGTTAGCAGTTTTCACCTTGTCATAAAGCAGGCTCGGGGATGCAAAAGATCCTTGGAAGAATTACAAAAACAACACATGAAATCAAAATGCTGCTGCTGGCAGTGGGAGACGTGCTCTCCTCCCCTGAGCTTGCTGTCCTTCAG